GTCGGGCGCGTGGCCCGGGCCCTCGTGGGGCGGAGGGAGGGGGGAGTCCCCGCGTGGCTGAGCCGGGGGCTTGTGCCCGCAGGTTCCCTGTCGTCGCTTCCAAAGGGAAACCCCCACGATGTCCGGAGGTCTCGATGTCCTGCAGATGAAGGAGGAGGATGTCCTCAAATTCCTCGCTGCCGGGACCCACCTGGGAGGCACCAACCTTGACTTCCAGATGGAGCAGTATATCTACAAAAGGAAAAGCGATGGTAAACCCGAGGGATGGATGGCCCTGGGTGGGCAGCAGGGATTCTGCGGGCACGGCTGAGGAAAGCAGGGGGGTGCTAATGCTTGAGCTCTCTCGCAGTTTCTCTATGGCCTGAAAGGTGCAGACGTCTTTAGTGATTGAATCACGTTACTCGGGGAAGTGGGACGAAGTTAGGATTTCAGAACTTGGTAAATCAATCACAGCTGGATTTAGGCGCTTCTGCTAGTTCTTGACTATAGTACAAAATGGTTTTAATGTCTCAGTAGTGGTTTCTGCTGGTTTGCATTGTTCTTCAATCTGAGCTGCACCCTGTTAAAAGATTGACGCTCGTACCAGGCCCTGGTTCATGCGGATAGGTGCTGGAAGTGTGCTACATTAAAACCATTCTTCACCAACTAGAATTTTGGAGTAACCACAGCCATGTGACAATGTTTAATGGCAGAAGAGTGCTATCCTGTTTTAGGATCTTGTATTTGCTGGTTGCTCTAAAGCCTTTGGTCACCAACAGGTATTTACATCATCAATCTGAAGAGGACCTGGGAAAAACTCCTCCTGGCAGCCCGTGCCATTGTTGCCATTGAGAACCCAGCTGATGTGAGCGTCATTTCTTCTAGAAATACTGGACAGGTATGGACACTTGTTGGTCGTGAGGCCTGCAGTCTTGGGAGCAGGACTCTCTTGCCATGCATCATTGCCTGCCAGTGGCAGCTTGACGATAAAAGGGAGCAACAGGAATTTTGGCTCTAGGAACACTTTTTTGGAAGCATGTTTCTTGTGCTGCACTTGCAGCTTAGAAGAGATCAGTTGAAACCCACCCCCCATTTCTGTAGCTTCAGGATGTTTGATAACTTGTTTTTCTTTCATATCCTGTGGGTACTTCCTGTTGGATTTCTGGCATATTTGTGGTCAGTCCTCTGGTGCCCCCCCCCCCCCAGTAATTCTGTGGGTCACTGGCACTGCTTTTTGAGGACAATAAGCGCCTGATACAAAAGTTTTCAGATAAATCATTTGCTCTGTTATTGAACAAGGTATAGTAACTAGTATATTTTTAATTTCTTCTCTAGATTTTTAGCAAAAAAAATCTGTTGTAGAAGGGGACACAACCGTTAAATGAAATCTGATTAGCCACTGAGGTATATCTGTGAGCTTAGTTTCTTTGGAGTAATGCAGGTGGTGCCACAAACATACAGGAAGATTATGAGTGACATGGGGTGGATTTACAAAGGAGAAGCTTGGGTTCCTATGGACTTGACCTGCACACTGTTAAAGCTTGATGCTGAGGTCAGTTTCTGGCCGATGAGCTCTCAAGTGTCGGAAGTGTGCTACAGCAAACCGGATGGCAGGGTTTTCGCTAAGGCCAGGAGAGGAGCTCCCTCTATGAATGGAGTTTGATAGCAGGCCTTGCCACATGCCTGAGAAGTTGAGAGCTGGTGCAAGTGAGTAAGAACTGCCAACTGCAATTTTAATGGACACAGCTACAGTTTGTGTATATTCACTACCGAGCTTTTCCTGTAGTTCCTGAAGTTATGCTACTGGATAATGGGAGGATGTAGAAATAATGGCAGAAAATTGGCTTTGCTTTTTTCATAAGCTGTTTGTTTTATCCCCCCTTTCGTGATTTGATTTTGAGACTTTGGAGTAGAGCTTGCAACTAAGTTCAGGAAGAAAAAGGGTGTTTTTCCTGTATCCTGACTTCTTGCTTTGCTGGTGGATGTGATCTTTTTAACTCCTGGTGTTGGTGTAGCTATTTTTAAAAGCATTTTTATTTTCTCTCAGTCTGAATGCAGAGCTGTTGGTGAGCCCCGATTTCACAGGAATTGAAACATACTGTTCAAGTAAATTTCACGTGTGTTCACTGACAGCATACCTGGGTGACTCGGTGGAAATGCAGTTTCCCTGCTTCACCTTTGCTGTGGTCCATTTTGCAGCGTGCTGTTCTGAAGTTTGCTGCTGCTACTGGGGCTACTCCTATTGCTGGACGTTTCACCCCCGGTACCTTCACAAATCAGATCCAAGCGGCCTTCCGTGAGCCACGACTCCTGGTTGTTACGGACCCCCGGGCTGATCATCAGCCACTGACAGAGGCATCTTACGTCAACATCCCCACCATTGCGCTGTGCAACACCGACTCCCCGCTGCGCTATGTGGATATTGCTATTCCCTGCAACAATAAGGTAACGGCTTTGTTGTAGCATTCAAAGCTGCTTCCTCCAGAGCATGCCCTAGGTTGCAAGACGGATGCTTTCTGCAGGGGAGGGTTGGCTTGTATCTCGCATGTCTCCCGGGGCGACGAGCTAATTAAGGCCTCTTGCAAGCTAGCAGGCAGGTGGGGAGGAGGAGGTGAGCTGCACACAGTTGGAGCTTGGAGCTGAGGCCAGTTTCTGGCCAAGGAACTCTCAAGTGTAGGACGTGTGCTATAGTAACCTGGCAGGACTTCTCGCTGGTGCCATGAGGGTCTTTGTGGCCCAGTGAGTGGAGTTTGATAGTCGTTCTTGCCACAGTTTATGAATATGAATGAAAGATAAAGTGAACTGATGAAGAAACTGTTCTGAAACCTTCCTTGCCAGAAACCACCTGAAAGGTAAAGTCTAGGGAGATGGGAAACTATCTTTGATCTCTAGATGTTGTCATTCACCACAACTAATGTAAGCTAAATCTGAGCACGTGTGTAAGACCGCTCATTTGGTCAAGTTTTCTATTTCTTCATTCTTGCATATGTGACAAGCATAATCCCTGTCTTTTCGGCAAGATTCACGCGGGGTAGTGAGCAGTATGAAACTCCGTAGCAGGAGAATCGCTTCAGGCTATGCTGTATACAGCAAATTCAGATGCTGGCGATTGAAGTGCGCTGCGATTTTTGCAGAGACATGAAAATGTCACTGGGAACTCAAAAAGTTGCCCTTCCTGAGTCAAGTACATAGTCTGGGCAATTAGCAAGCAATGCCTTTCTCTTGCCAAGCAAGAACCTTGGATGAAGTGCAAATCAGTCTTTCGCTCTTTTAAAGAAAAAAGGTGTTTCCAAAGGTTTAGCTTTACAGGAAATCTTACACAGTTTCTTCTGTTCCAGGGAGCCCATTCAGTGGGCCTGATGTGGTGGATGCTGGCTCGGGAGGTCCTGCGCATGCGTGGCACCATCTCCCGTGAGCACCCCTGGGAAGTCATGCCTGACCTGTACTTCTACAGGGATCCCGAGGAGGTAGGAGACCCGTGGAAGGAAGCGTGGCTGCGTGAGATGCCCTGCTTGTGCTCCTGCCCCGTGGTCCTGTGTGCCCGCTGTTGAGGACAGGTTTTGCCAATATAATCACTGCACTTCACACTTAAGGTGGTGGTTAATTAGTCTTGCCTGTTGCTGGTGCCTGTTGCCTGGTATGTGATAGTGGGGGTGGTGAGGCGTTTCTGGGAGACTTG